ATGGAGAAAAAAGACAATGAGTGTCTCTCTTATCCTAAGTGCTTGATTAGAGAAAGCAGATTTTTAACACCTCTAATTCAGCGTTTATTAAACAGGATATTCGAGTTTTCTAATGTGCCCTTTGAGTTTGATTACAATATAATATTTTTCTAACGTATGCACACGTTTCTGGTTGTTGTTTAGTTTACTGTCAATGTGTACGATGCGTAGAAAATAATACCGTAATCTGAGAACAACCAAGTCCATTTTGGCCAAAATGCCCTCCCCTCTCCCCCGCAAAAAAAAAAAAAAAAAAAAAAATCATAATGGAGGCATTCAACACCGACCTGCACAGTTATGCCTCAATCACAATTCTCGATGTGTCCATGTCTAAGGGTTGGTTATTTTTATACCAACATTGAGAAGAGCATTGATCGATCCCACATATACCCTGGGACCGCTGTAGGGAATGATCTGCTTGAGCAGTAGATCTTATATAGGATGCTATTGCTATCTGGATAGTTCCTTTGGTTCATTGGATTTGCGAGAGATTTAATAACAGGTAATATAAACTAGTCAACACAAGTTAAGGAACGTACTGTAAAAAGAATGATATATTTGTATGTATTCTTTCGAGGTTTTACTTTTACTCGTAAAACTAGATATTGGTGAAATGTTACTCTATGACTAATGGGCTTGTACACACCAGGGTTTGAAATGCACGTGACTCTTGTGCGCTGAGCTGGGGAGGGGACAAAAAGGTCCAATGTTTTCCAATTATCGATTTTTATTCCCTCGCTATAACAGTCAGGAAAAATTATGAACGCTCAAAAATCAGTTTTCAAATGCAAGATTCGTGTCTCGTGAGTGACTTGCACTCGCTCATTTGCACTATGGATACACCATTCTGCTGCTGTAGGGCTAAGCATAAACCTGCCTCCTCGACAGAAATTGTCTGATGTAAACAGAGGACGAGCCATTGCTTAGGTACAAGATGGTGTTTCACTCTGACAAGTTGCTACACTTCTTCGAGTGTCCGTTTCTGTCATTTCACGGCTGATTCAGCGTGCCAACACCACTGGTAGTGCCCAAGAGCGACCCAGATCAGGTCAACCAAGAACCACTAATGCAAGGGAAGACCGATTCATTCATAGACAGGCTCCGCCGTCGAGATCCACTCCTGCAAGTCGCATCCAGACACGGCTGAGAGCGACAGCTCGTGTTAACATTAGTTGTCAGACAGTACGAAGACGTCTTCATGAGTTTGGACTTAATGCACGTCGACCAGAAGTCCGTCAGCGTCTCACCCCAGCAAACAAGGATGCTCATCTTGCCTTTTGCCGAAGCCATGTAAGATGGACACGTCAACAGTGGGTTAACGTTCTCTTCCGCGACGAGTCTCGGTTCTCTTTGCATTACAATGACGGTCGTATCAGGGTTTGGAGGCGACCCGGAGAGCGGCTCCTCGATGGAGCCGTCAGAGAAGTGATGCCTTTTGGAAGTGGTTCCGTAATGGTATGGGGTGCTTTCAGTCTGAACCACTGTACTTCTGTACCATGTGCAAGGGAATCTCACTGCAATACGTTCCCGAGATGAGATACTCCGTCCATTAGCACTACCTACTCTGCAGCAGATGGGACCACAAGCGGTGTACCAGGATGACAACGCCGGACCTCATAGAGCGTTGCTTGTCCAAAACTTCATGCAGCTGACTGGCATTAACCTAATGGACTGGCCGGTCTGCAGTCCGGACTTGAATTCCATAGAAAACCTCTGGGATGAGCTGCAACTTCGAGCCAGAGACAACCATCCCCCTCCAGGAGACGCGCAGCAACTGTTTCAGATGCTGCAGGCAAAGTGGCAGGGGATGCCCCAGAGTGTTCACCAACCTCACGAACTCGATGAGGAGCCGGTGTACTGAGTGCCAGGACGATCGTGGTGGGCATACTCAGTATTGAAATCATCTGAACTGTTTTATTTTTGTTGTAGTCAGAAGTTAAAATAACTTCGAAACCACTTGACAATTTTGGGATTTGGTATTTTAACCCCTACCAAACTCAATTAACTTTTCAAGCAAGTTAAAATGGAATAACTTAATTTTCTTTTCTGTTACTTGCTATACACATGTTGATTAAAATGTGTACAAAATTTCATTGCATGTTGAAGTTTGCTTTTGAAGTTATACACTTTTTCTCAAATGTTCCTTAATTTTTGTTGACTAGTTTAGCATCCGTTACGATCACTACTACCTTAGTCATGATTCGTCAATGGATCTTCTTTTCTCCTTCTAATTTTGAGGGGTTGATTTTACACTACCGCACGAGAGCATTCTCTTTTGGTAAGGGTGACATGGGCTCTTCTGTTTTTGGTTTTTCAAAATCTGATGCACCACCCAACCACCTCTCTGCTTTCAGATTGCTTCAGTAGGGGATCCCTCAGTGTAGACAAGGATCACTGGTCCACTTTGTATCTAGATCTAGTGTCGATGCACTTTAGTATCAGTGATTTTCTTGAGGCTTCAGGGGTGGGTCTGCTATTTTATGTTCAGTACTTCGGAGCAGATGGCACTAGGCTGATCTCGTTTCCAAGTAGGACGTTACGACAGTATATCAAGGGTATAAGAATGTGATTCAGCAGTTGATGGCAATGTAGTCAAACCTCGTTAGACCTCCACCTTTGGGACGAACATGAAGTGTCGTCAACGAAAATGATTCGTCTGTTTGATCTATGTAAAAAAGTATTTGTGTCTATGACATACGTTTACATTTATTAAGAATTGTGAGTCTTCTGTTTCTCTCTCCCTGTGTGTTTGTGTGTGTGTGTGTATGTGTGTGTGTGTGTGTGTGTATGTGCGTGTGTGTGTGTGTGTGT